CCCCAAAACCCCAAAACCCCAAAACCCCAAAACCCCTTTTCCTCGAGGAAAAATTGGAACGATCGATCTTTAATTTATAATGTAATGGATTATAAACTGAAGAGAAATTAGTTCCTGAATATTGTAATCTAACTATCATTTCTTTGTGTGCAGGAAGGGAAGAAATCCAGGAGAGGCTCTCCCTTCAGACAAAATCTTAAGAAAATTTATAGTATTAGAATCAACCTAAATATTAAAACGGAACGGTATGAACTTTCTCGGTTATTGAGATTCAGCCTTGATATGCTCTTTCCCTTTTCTTCGAGGATCATGGCCCAACTTTTCCAAACATCCGCCACATTTTATCAATACTATTCCTAATATGAATACAGTTCCCATTGCTATCTTTAGATATGATATTGTTCTTTCTTTCAGACCGAGGAATTCAGCGCTCATCGGTACCCTCCCTCCAGGAGCACTAGCATGAAAATCTCGTTCCTCGGTTGTATCTCCGACTCTTGTCAAGCAAAGCACAAGACACATCACTATGGTCAGTGTTAGCAAGGAAGCCTGAGAAATAAAATTTCCAAAAGTGCCTCCAAATAAGCCTTCTTCAGAGAGCTTGTCTTCACCTCTCTGGAGAACTAGCCTGTCACTTTCCTCGCTACTCAAGTTAAGCTGATTATTCGATGAGCTAAAACTTCCTTCAGCATCATTTGTAGAGGTAATGACTCTTTTAATTGGTGAGGACTCAGAGATATGACCCATGATATCAGCTTGGCAAAGCCAGTTATCTTTTTGCAACCCACCAAACTCCTCTTCACCAGAGCTGAGGAACTCGCTCTGTTCTCCCTCCATCAAGAAGGAGCCTGAAATATCATGTGAAGAGTTATGAGGGTTATTAGTACTTGAATTGATGTGATCAATAGACTGTTCTTCAAGCTCACTAATCTTGAATCTCTTCCTGACTTCATCAGCAGCATCAGCTCCCTTCATGTTATTTATTACACTCAAAAGTTCTTGAACTTTCCTTTGCAAGTCTGAATTCTCATTCTTCAAATCTTTATTCTCCGTTTCAAGCACTTTGGACTTATCTTCCAAGACTTGAACCTTCTCATTAAGAAGTTTAAATTTACTAGTTTTCCTTGATCTAGTCCTAAGAGCGCCTAAAATGGTCACCGAACAAAGCTTACTTTTCTTATTAAGCATCCTTTTCCTCGCCTTAAGGTAGCCATCAGGGTCTTTGTCGTACTCAAAGACTCCATATTGATCCTCAATTATCTGGTTTCTGTATTGGTCGACCTTTTTAACACGGTTTCGAGGGTATTTCTTGGCCTTCTTTTTTGCAGTCTGATTCTCCTTTGATACATCAGAAGTTTCACTCAAGTTCAGAGTAGAGTGATCCTTTCAGGATTTGCCATTCATTTTCAGGTTCCGCTTCTTTCCTGTGGTTTTCTGCTAGATTCATCATTTTACTTGTTCTCAGAACAAATTCTCAAATTTAGTGAGAAACATTCCTGGCAATTTTTCAAAACACGTGGGAGACCGAAAACATTGCTAAATTTGCAAAAATTCGGTGAATTATAATTTAAAGTAGATACTATTTAACAAAATTACCTTCTTATCCTCAATTTGTTCTATCTCGTTTCAATAAAGTTTCTTATTACTATCCATAAGTTTACCGGGAATTTCTCTAAAGTAGTCAAATGAATCAAATTTACAAATTAAACCCATCAAATTCAGAGGCAAATTGATCCTTGATCCCTTCTGTGTGTTCCATCTTAATAAATTATTATTTTAAATCCTCTTTCCACTTGGTTATTAATAATTGGGGTTTTGGGGTTTTGGGGTTTTGGGGTTTTGGGGTTTTGGGGTTTTGGGGTTTTGGGG